GAGGCAGAAAGAAGCCACACACTATCCTCCAAATTACACATAAGGTGCCACGAGGGTGCCCTACAAAGAGGCAGGCAATCTCTATCTGATGCAACAAGAGGCACCAGTAACAACAGAAAAATTAAATATATTAAAATAGGCTACCTAGGATTTTTATAAAATGGCTTTTGAAAAGATAGTAGAGGCAGAAAGAAGCCATACACTATCCTCCAAATTACACATAAGGTGCCACGAGGGTGCCCTACAAAGAGGCAGGCAATCTCTATCTGATGCAACAAGAGGCAGCAGTAACAACAGAAAAATTAAATATATTATTGGGAACTTGGATCAAAACCAAATTTTACTCTATTAGGGACTGTTGCTTTTTTAAAAAATACCTTGAAATATAAGTATTAGAAGCCATCACTTTATACAAGGAAGAAAATGAATAAAGTTTATGATCTTCCTCCTTCCAAATACCTGATGTCATTCATTTCAGGTACCTGAAAAGATGCAAAGCAGTGCAACTTTCAAGAATTTAATGGACTACTCTCAGTATGAGAGACTTTACATAGCATCCGTCGACTTGAAAATTAAATTGATAACAGGAAAAAAAAAAAAGAAATCTAGAGAAAACACACACAACCTAATAATAGAAAAGACTCTCTTTAGAAAGCAGGTGTTTCTGAGAGCTGCATAAAAGGCTTCCTATCTTGAACACAGCTTCAACTAACACCAAGGGAAACAACACGTATTAAGAGGAGACGGCAGGCTTCTCTTAAAGCAGGAAGGTTTATCCTTCCTCAGCAGGTGATGTACTTTGGTAACCTGGAACATTCATTTACAGGATGATTTTTAATTTGCTTAATTGAATAAAATCTGGATATAGTTAGATTGGCATTTTGGAAAACAAGGACAATTGATTACAAGTCATGACACTGAAGCTCCTCGAACCATTAAGCAACAATTTTATCAATAAATCCATCACAACTGAGCCCAGGACTTTTAAGCTTAATCAGCAAGATTAGTCACTTTAAAAGAAAGGAAATAAAGAATTTGATCTTATAAACCAGGCACTTTAAAATTAAAAAAAGATTTTTAAAGAAGTTTTTGTTTTTAATCTATAGTTGGAACTCTTAAATTCTTGTAAACTATTATGCACGCAGGAACCTCGGCATTAGCTGGGACTGGCCTGGGTCCTTTACAGAAGGAGCTTACTTAGCTAAAAGTTGCACAAACGCTTTCGAGGCAGTCTCGTTTTTCAGATACTGCCAAACTGAGATTCCAATAACATAATCTGAAATCTCTGCAGTGATTATTTTTAAAAACATGGAACTTTTATATCATAAAAATATAATCATTGTGATACAGTGGAAATACCTAACTATATTAGTTTAGTATAAAGCAAAAAAAAGTACGACCATGGATGTACCAGTTATAATTCTCATCCCGTAACTGACAAAGCCTTTATCCCTCATAAATCTCGACATTATCTATAATCTAAAGTGAAACCCCACAGAGTTGAGTGTTCCTTGGTTGAATGTGGGGAATGGTTCAATTTTACTTCATTGTTTAATCTGAACCATCATTGCTTTTGGCTACTTCATCTTTCTGAGGACTTTCCAAATAAAAATACCCTATGTCATCACACCCTGTCAAGCAAAAATGACACTGAAAGATTAAAATGAGTAAAGAGCTGGGTGTGGTGGTATGTGCCTACAGTCCCAGCTACTTGGGAGGCTAAGGTGGGAGGGCCGCTTGAGCCCAGGAGTTTGAGACCAGCCTGTACAACACAGCGAGATCCTGTCTGGAAGGAAGGAAGGAAGGCAGGCAGGCAGGAAAAAAATGGGTATAGGCAAAATAAGGAACAAGTTAAATTTTCATGATTTCAGTGTAAAGCCTGTGGGAGTATGTTTAGTTATAAATATTCCTTGTAGACACGTTTACCACAATAGAGCTTCATCATTCCCCCAATTTTGTTCTGCTGTTTCCAAAAACCAAATCTAGTTCTTAAACATTCTTCTCTCAGTAACTTTCTAAATATATTATAAATAAAGCATCTTATATCAATAACTTACAGTGAAAACCACACTTATCTTTTGCCAACTTTGAGTCTGTTTCTTTCGAATGTGAACTTTATTAGTTTTTTTCCCAGTTAATATCTAGAAAATTATTTATTCTCATTCACTTGCATGTATATTTCAGTTATAACTTCGTATCTTGCAGATGAGCGAAACAGTAAGTACCACATGAAAGCTTCTAATTCACTTGTTCATCAGTTCCACAAATCTCAAACTCCTTTCAGCTAAAATATAAAAATTTTAGGATTGTTCATTCATCAAGTAATAACAGTAATTCTCTCTATGTGGTATACTATTATAGAACTGCCATTACATTATATAGTGTTGTATCTTCCAGGGACTCCAAAACTAAAAGAGATCAAAACATGATCTGAAAATCTTCAAAATAGAAGCCAATAAACTGCATAATTGGCCTCTAATTAGATCAAGATAAGACAATAAAATCAGAAGAGGTAAAAGGCTGAAAGATTTAACACGGATTCCGAGGGTTCCCAGGGAACCATTTATAAACTGGGAGAGTGTGGCTCAGTAGTTAGAAGGTAACTGAGTTACCGGTAATTAAGTACATCAGTTGTGCTGACTAGTCCATTCCATTTGGTAAAATATTGTAACGAAATGGAAGTTTTTTTGTTTTTAAAACCAGAGGGCACATGTCATTACATGGGACCTAATTACTGTAAGCCAGAATGGTTGCTGAAATATTGAGATGTAAGACTGAATAAGGCTATTTAAACATTTTAGTATATTTTGTCTCACTGAAACTGAGAACTTTAAAAAAACTGGCAATGCAACTCAATGTGTAACTAATTACTTGAAAAAAAAAGATTAAATGAAACTCGAATTAAGAAAAATCCATTTAAATACATTTGTGGGTAAAAACCTACATTTACATCCATTTATAGAAAACTTAAAATGCAAAAATATAAAGACCAATACTAATCACTTTGTTTCTGAATGAGTAAAATCACTGACATATTAGATGCTTCCACTGTTAAAATACACTGTTTAAAAATGAAAAGAATGACCGCAGGAGTTATAATATCCAGTGTCATGAGTGAACACCTTTGATTACTTCTAAAGAATATCACACCTATTTGGTAGTTAAAAAATTGAAAATAAAATCTTTTCTTGTATAAAATGCTTGATTTTAAAAAGGCAATTTATCCTGCATTCTAAAATTTAAGCCCTTTAAATATGACAAAGTTACCCTCTTGGGCCTTAAGAAAGATAGCTATCTATGCTTAAATATTCTAAACTGGAATATTTTTATGTTTACTTATACTGGTAATTTCTAGTGGATGGGGTAATATAACTGGCTTTCATCTTTTTGCAATTTTTCCATATGTTCTGGTAAAAATTATACATCTAGGCTTCCTTCTCTTAGATGAATTTTAAATAAATCTAAATATTACTATATATACAATCATCCCTTGCAGCTTTGTTTCCTAAAACAGACCCATAAACTAAATATCCTTAAACCAAGTATCAAGAAAAATGTAGAGCCTCAATGAAGCAGAAAAAGGCCTTTGTATCATTTTATGTTAAATACTGGTTAGTTACCTGTATTGGTAAGATTTGGACAGCAGACTATTAACAGATATGCATTTTCACAGTACATTCAAATTTCCCACAAAACTTGGAAATCTGTGCAATTTGTAAATTCCAATCCATTTGGGAAAGAATCCCCAGTAATGGGTAATTCTTCATTTTGAGAACACAGAATACATTAGAGCTGCCAAAATTGTGCAGCGCTCTCATAATGTACAGTTCTCAAGATAGGGGATGTGCTAAAAACACTTTCAACCAATACATCTGCAAACAATTCTTACCCATTTCTTCTATTTTTTTCTTTTATTATCTTGCTCTTTAAAATGAAAACAAACAAACAAAAAAAAAAAACAAGAAAAAAAAAAACCTCTTGAAACTAAGGGCAACAATGAGTCCTGGTCATAATTTTACCTATTCTTTGTTTTGCCGATATAGGATTTTAAAACTAATTTTGAAACTTATTTATTTGTAAGCACAATACTTTTCTAAGACTATACATAACATTAAAAATAAAAATTCCTGATCTTTCCAGTTGAGACACAGCAGTACTATAATAAGTATCCGAGTCTACTGCAGAAAATAATTGAACCCTATCAGTAAGTGGTGGAAGCCTCATCATAATCTGTGCAAGCTAATTTTCCAGAAGGTAACCAATCTGTGTTTGGGAGCAAATGGGTAAAAAACAGGTGCACGAGTAAAGTAAAGACTGGACATAAGTTAAGGAAATCAGAATATGGACAGAGACAGGAAGAACCTTAACCTAAAAATGTCCTAATGAGTTTACTTTCCCTTTCTTTACATTTATGGAGGGAAAAAGAAATTACAGAGTTAGCCAATTTTTAAAAAGGAAATAATCACTTTGATTTAAAAAGTATATTAAGGTCTAGCACCTGAACAAAATTCAGATCTTGTGTTTTGACTAAAGAACTATATTTTGTTTCTCTTTTGTAATCCAATCAAGTGCTTTCATAATTATTGAGCTTTGAGTATCTCCATAAAAAAAAGTTTCTCATAAGTTTATCTATCATTCATGGACTCATGAATATTTAAGATCAAGATTAGAGATGTTTTAATGGCACCAGATAAAAAGTATACCCAAGTCTGGAGTTATAAATCACAAAGTTTCATATTTTTAGCAGCAGAAAAGGTGATACTCATTAATTTAAGGTTTTTAGTTTTTCATTAGTCTTAGCAATTTTCCCAAAACAGATTTATGAGTTGTAGACGATCACTTTATAGGCTCTTCTCATCTTTGACATATTGCTTACATTGTGTAAAAACTATAGTAACTGCTTTTAATAAACTTAACAATGTCTAAAAATATCTTGGAACAAGTACAATGTATCGCTGTCATATGGAATTTTGTAAACAATCTTACTTGGGTTAAGAATGTAGCCTCAATAGTGAATTCTTTATTTTGTCCAAAACAACACAATAAAAACACCCCCAACAATACATAAACCTATATATAAAATATAGAATATCTCCAATATTTTTCCTTTATATGGTAGCACACCAGTATATGCAAGAAAACATACTGGTGATGGGGTAAGAGGAAAACTGACTTGGGCAATGACATAGTGAATCAGGCATTACATTCAAAGACCAGGTAAACATCAATTTTAGTCAGAAAAGCAATACTTAAAAAGTTCCCATGGAGCTGAGATTTACATACTTCATTCTCCATTCCTGGTCATTTCATCCATAGCCTGACTATTCTCAATCATGCTTCTTGGCCTTTGGAGTAGTACTATAAAGTATAGGGAATGCCTCTCTCAATACCAAATTTTCACCATGAAAAATCATAACAGAAACCACAAAGTTTAAAAGAGTATGCTGCATTTCAGAAGTATTTGCCCTAATAATTTTTAAGAAAGCTTACCATAAATACTTTCAAAAACAACAGGCTCAACAAAGTATTGTACAGCGTCCTGTATGTAGTAGTAAATATCTACCCAGGCCATTTGTAAATTCTGTTTAATCTGTTTCTTGAGTATCCTTTCATCTCAGGAAGGTCAATGATCACCTGATTCCTTCTCTACCTAATGATCTGTTGTTAGTCTACCTTTAACAATGGAAGAAGAAACCGGTATGTGTTTTAAAGTCAACTGGTTCTCCTTAAGTCCATAGTTTCTATGATGTTTCAACGTTATGTTACTGTGTACTTACAGAAGCAATCTCTCAGTTATGAAAAATAAAACATCAGTTGCAGGGCTTATAAAGTAAAAAGGGAAACTCTTTCCCACCCCCCCCTTTTTTGTTGTTTAAAAATTTAAATTAAATGTACAAGACCAAGCACAGGCACTTTCCAAAAACCAAACATGAAGCCAAACCACGAAATTACTCGATAGTTATAGAAGACAGCTCTGACTTCGGGGGGTCATCTCTGCTGGCCTCAGCACAAGCACTGGTCTTTGGCTGCTCTGGCACTTCTTCCTCCTTCTCTGCCAGCCCACCGAGAGACCCCAGGGGGAAAGCGCTTTCACAATTCTGGGTCGAGGAGACCTGCGAAATTACAGGCATTTGAACAGAGGAGTTGCTTTCAAAACCGTGTTCTCCAAGATCATACTGAACAAGGGTCTCTTCTTGCTCCTGGTTTAAGTAGTCCGGTACTAGGAAATCACTAGATAAGAGGCAAAGGATGAAATATAATATTAATTTTCACACCAGTGATAGATAAGCTACAATAAAAAGTTCTGATCTGTAAAACAGGATTGGCACTTATCATTTCACTAAGTCTTCAATTTAAGTTCAAACTGAGGAACTTTCAACTTATAAACTTTACTAAATATGAACAAAAGCCATCCATTAAAACCAAAGTGTATCCAATTCTCCCTACCACCAGTACATCGGATTATCACTTTCACTATAACTTTGGACACCTAAATAGCCTTTTTTGCTCTATGCAGAGGAGTTCATATACGTAAAACAAATGCAGCATGCTCACTTAAGCAAAGATCATCTGAGTTAACTTAAATGCTTCGCTTTTCTTGGTTACGCACTAAGTAAGAGGTTTATAAACCTAGCTTTGTTATTACTAACTGGATATAAGTTAGTTAAGAAACTAAGTCCTTATGCAGAAATGACCATATACATAATCTAGCATACAAAGATGTGCATCCTATTAGATTTGGTATATGAAAATAGTGATAAATTGCCTTTGAATTAGAAAATGTATGCCCTGAGATTGGTTACATGTTAATCCTTAAAAAAACACTTAATTATTGATCCCCACAGGGAACATGGACAGTAAAATATACCAAATTTATCAACAGTGGATACTTTCCCCAAGTGGTGAGATCAGAAAAGATTTTAAATTTCTTCTTTATATTTTTCTGTATTTTACAATTTTCTACTATAAACATTTTTGGTAGTTAAAACAATAAACATATGAAACAAGTCTTAGATGCTTTATTTAAATCTTTATTACTGAACTAAAAAGTTCATTATACTAGAATTGCCAATAATTAATACACTTAATAAGAGTTTAGAAGGTTATTTTATAAGTTGTTCAGTATTAATTAAAAAATTAAAACCTGCTCATCTGCAATACAATTTAGAATGTCCTATGTTATATTTTCTAAAATGTCTTCAAGTGTTAGACAAGAGGAATGGAGGCTACGGGTTCTGTAATGGGAAGGTACAGACAACATGAGTGGTAAACTGGAACGCCATTTCGGTCCTGAACAAACTGTGCTGACCATGGTATGTACGGTCTAGGGTTAGTGATATGACAACCACACATTCAGAATGAGAAATGATTGCATTTAATCAAATGAATGTCTGGTTTGAAGGGAAAAACAAAATCTATGCAGGAATAATTTGAAATTTACTTAAAAACGAGGTTTTAAGCCAGGCATCATCGTGTACCTGTAGTCCTAGCTACTTAGGAGGCTGAGGCAGGAGGATCATTTTAGCCCAGGAGTTGAAGGCCGTATGTGCTATTATTGTGCCCTATGAATAGTCATTGTACTCCAGCCTGGGCAACGTGCTGAGATCCCATCTCTTAAATTAAAAAAAAACAATTTGAAAAATAAAGGTGATTTAAAATGCAAGAATTTAGAAAAATTTCATTTTATATGAAACTAAAGATTCCTACAGACGAATAATTCTTACAAAGTATTAAAAAATAGACAATAGAGTTTTATATCTAAAGGGGGCCTTAGAAACCATCTTGTATAAAGCTTACATTTTATTTTTCTCTAAGTTTCAAGCTTCTGCATCTATAAAGTGACATGCTTAAACAGTAGCTGTTTGTGGGAGAGCTACAACTAGAACCTGATTTCCTTGCATATCCTGTAAGTCAGAAAGGTAACTCTATTATAATTATTAATATTAAAAGCATGGAGCTCTAAACTGAAAGAAAATAGGAAAGACTTCATTTGATCGAAACAATCATATCCATTATAGGTGCTGGTAAAATTTTTCTTATTGGTGAATGGATATTACTTTACATAGAATTTTAAAAAAGAGAGAAGTGGTCAAGAATTTTATTAACATTCAGAGTCTGAAGTAATGCAACATCACTAAGTATCATCTGACATGATATATTTTCCAATAAGATTAATTTAAGATCCACTATAGGATTACTTTAACCTTATATTATTAAAAAAAATTAAGAGAATAGTTTACTTCTGTAGAAAAATATTTTTAACACCAACTATGAAGTATTTGTAATTTTATAGATTCAGCAAAATTTCATCAGATCAGGAGATCAGAGTACGGAGAGTGGGAATTTAACACAAATTTGATTGACTAGCTGGCAACCTGATGAAAAAACACAGCAGGCTGCCCTGAAAGCAGGAAAAGAGAGTTTAGAAAGCAGTTTTCCTGGATGGGTTTTCGCTGTGCACCTCACCTGCTCTGGAAGTAGTTTGCTAGCTCTGATGCTTCATGGTTCAGACTCCTCAGGTGCACGATTAAATTTCCAGAGTTGGTGAACATGGCGCCACATGTTTTGCACTCGTAAATCCGAGGCTTGCGGATAATGTGCCGGGAAACCCTCATGTGGTGTTTATATTCCCCGAAGGAAGTGAAAGTGGCACTACATATCTGGCACCGGAAACAGCGTTTACCTTCGTGCTTGAGGCGATGCATCTTTAGCGAGTAAGCCCTGGTGAACTTTTTCCCACAGCGGTCGCACTGAAATGGTTTAATTCCTGTAACACAAAGCAAAACAAAATGTCATTTAAAAACAAAATAAACTGAAAGGTCATAGACATGACAAATTTCTAACTGTAATGTTGTAGTAATAGATAATTTGAAAAGATAAAAACTACCAGCAAAAATGTATTCTAATTAAATACCTAAGAAAAGGTACAGAATATGTGAAAAGTCTCAAGTGCTTAAAACAGAAAAGATATAAAAAAAGGCAGGGGGAGGGAGGCAAACGAGGTGATGTACGCTGCAGGTGATTTTTGAATACTCTTCTAAATCATTTACTTTGCTAACTTCAAAATACAATTTAACCACAGTATGTGGACAGAACCAAAATCCCAACGTGACAGCATTTATTGTTTCATTTCATTAAAGTTAGAGACATTTATGTTGAAAAGATGTGTAAACGATCAGGACCTACTCTCCATTCCTATCTCAGAGAGAAATGAGAAGAGAAAAGGAGAATCCTAACGTCTCTGAATGTAAATAGAACCGTCATTTCACAGACTGGCTTTTTGAGTATTTAATGTAATACTGACCAATCAGTAAGTGAATTATAAAGTATATTAATCATCTCCTCAAATTCATTATCACAGTTTTGGGGAAAAATTTAAAAACTCTTCAAAACACAATCTGTAGCTTCAGCGAAGTCACATGAATTGGTGCCAGGACAGGGACTGCAAGGCCCGTCGTGTCAAGGGGAAGATGAGACGCTGACGTGGCTGAACCAGCGGCAAGGTCTCACCCCAGAGGTCAGTGCTTTGCCCACAGGAATCCCGTCACCCCGTGTGATCGCTGAGCTGAAGTTTCAAATCCCTTCTACGCATCTATCCAAAATCTCTTATATTAAAAAAAATACAAAGCTGACTCATGAGGACACAGAGAGATTTAGGATTATAGAATTAAATTAATAAGAAAATGTTAAAATTTCAAAAACAAGTTTTATTGGGAAATAATTTCAAAGTTACAGAGACATTACAGGAACAGTACAAAGAACAGCTACACATACCCTTTTAACCCCATTTTCTTACCATCTGCGTTTGTGCTTCTCTATCTCACATATATACACACACCTAATATATCCAATACCTTTATATATAAACTTACACGTTACATATTACCTCTACATTTTTACCAGAATACTCAATGCCTGTGGCAAATGAATCAAGCAAATAGTTTTCGGACCCTGCACCATTTCACCAAGAGACCTAAGCTAATCTGTTCTCGTTTGACTTCCCAGAGTTTTGTTTTGTTTTTAACTCAGAAGCAACCGTTTTTTTATTTGAACTGGGATTCCAAAATAAAATGTTTTAGCATGCTCATTTATGCAACAACAGGGAAGATGCCATTACCTGAGTGGATGAGCATGTGCTGTTTTAGGTTCTGAATGCGGGTGAATCGCACCCCACAGGTCGGACACTGAAAAGGTCTGTCTGGACCATTTGGACTTGGTCGTTCTGTACTGCTGGTAGAAGGAGCAATGTAGAGTTGGTAGGGATACTGAACATTTTCCAATCTAAAAAAAACAGATCACAGAAGGCAACCAGGCTCTGATTTTTAAGTTAAATAAACATTTCAATAGATAAACTTTAAAGAAACAGGACATAAAAAAACTTAAAGACTTTTTGAAGCAGTTTAATTGTTAGATTACAAATTTTATTTATAACAATATGAAGAATAATGTTTTTGTCCAAAATGTCTAGCATCTTAAATTTAGCATGGACACACAACCATAGAACATTTCATAAACTATCTCACCTTAGATATCCTCGATCTCACTAATTCTTTACTTCCAACTACTGCTTTAATTCAGGCCCTCATTAATACAAGTCCGAATCAACAGTGCTCTCCTTTTAGCTCCACACCCCCCAACCTACCCTTCTCACGCTGCATTCTAGCGATCTCTCCGATTACATCGGTCCCGGGTCTGAAACGCTGCGATGGCCGTTATCTCTGGAATAAAGTCTAAACCCCTTTGTAAGGGATAGAAGACTCCTCACGATCTGAGCTCTATGTACCTCTTTCCAGCCTCATTTCTTGTCATACTGCCCAAACATACCCTATGTCTGCAGTCCCCAACCCTCGGGCCAAGGCCTGGGTACCAGTCCATGGCCTGTTAGAAACTGGGCTGAGCACTGCCTGAGCTCTGCTCCCCACCCACCCCAGCCTGGTCCACAGAAAAACTGTCTTCTATGAAACCAGTCCCTGGTGCCAAAACGGTTGGGGACCACTGCCCTGTATCAAATACCACTCATTTTACAAAATGTAGCTAAAAAGTCACATGTTCCTCCGGGAAGCCTTCTTTGATTTATTGGTGACTCAGGTAGGCACCCTCCTATGCAGAGCAACAGAGCTCTCTGCACATCACTTATGATTGCCTGTTTACTTGTCTATCTTCAATCCCTCTCCTTCCCTCAAAATTGACTTGGCTCCCTGAGGGAAAAGGGCCACACATTTCATGTCTATATCACCACTACTCAGCACAGTATCTCATCTAGAACACATGACCTGATTAATACTTGAAATTAAGGAGCCTAGGCACATTTCTGCGTGTTATACTTTTAGTAACTTATTCAAATAATTCTGGTTCATAACCTCCTCTACCAGGTTTAACTATTAAAGAAAAATAGGCTGGGCATGGTGGCTTACGCCTTTAATCCTAGCACTTTGGGAGGCCAAGGCGGGAGGATTGCTTCAGGCCAGGAGTTCGGGAGGAGCGTGAGCAAGAGACCCCCATCTCCACAAAAATCAGAAAAATTAGCCAGGCATGGTGATGCACACCTGTAGTCCCAGCTACTCAGGAGGCTGAGGCAGGAGGATTGCCTGGGTGACAGGAGAGACCATGTCTCCCCTGCAAAAAAAGAAGAAAACTTGTTTGAATACCTTTAATCCTTCAAGTTTTGAACAAGTAAGGTTTTTAAGAGTGTCTTGGACTCTCTGAGGAGGAATTCAGTTATTTGGTGGAACCCATATTCAGTGAGGAGACAAATAAATAATCAGTTATCAGAGCAGAGGATTAAAAGAGGAGGATGCACTAGTGACTGGGGGCTGCTTCAGACTGGTGGTCGTGCTGTTCCAGGAACTGAACGGTCAGTGTGGCCAGAATGTAGCACACAGAGGGGAGAATGGTCTACCCACAAACAGTATGCCAACAGATGAGTGTGGCTGTGTTCCAGTCACATTTGATTTACAAAGGCAGTGGGCTGGAATTGGCCTCTGGCCCACAGTTTGCCAACCCCGGATATATATACTATTTAAAGCAAATTTTGGAAATGCCACTAAAGTCCTGGATAGGGGCTCTAACTTATAATGTGATGATGCAAACTTCTTATGCTATTCTGAGATAAAATGCTTGAATTTAGAGTTGTAAGCCTAACCCTTACAAGAGAATTACTTGCTCTGTTAGTACTAACCGATCATCATCATCTGCATGAGCATTAGTGCTGGAAGTGCTCTGAAGCGTAGGTAATCCCTCGGTCACGCCTTCGTCTACTGAGCCTGTGAATGAAAGAAAGAGGACAGCGTCAATACTTCGGTGATGGTAACTGCAAACTATCCAAGCCTCTAACATACATTACCTAGTGTTCACATCTCCATTATTAATCAAAAGTAGTAGTGTTCTATATTTTGTTTTTATTTAAATTAAATGTTTATGGGATTTAAAAATAAGTCATATGTAAGACAATAGCCTTACATTACTATTTAAATTCTTTTAGGAGTATTTCTTTGACAAAAATTTCAGAAAACAAGCAGAACAATTCAAATGCAAACTAAAAAAATACACATTAATAATTAACAACCATTTAAGGAAGCACTGACAATTTTTATTTTTTAAAACTTATTTTATTGTGACATACAACTTATTGTACAATTTTCACACAGAATTTAAAAGGTAAAGCGAATACCTAGGCAACCTCCACCAAGCCACACAAAAGTACTGCTAGTATCCTGTAAGTCCTCATTTACCCTGATCGTAAACCTCTTCCCCCTTTAAACGCCTGTCTTAGGCTGGGCATGGTGGCTCACGCCTGTAATGCTAGCACTTTGGCAGGCTGGGGCAGGAGGATCGTCCGAGGTCCTAAGTTCAAGACCAGCCTGAGCAAGACAGCGAGACCCTGTCTCTATAAAAATTTTAAAAATTAGATGGGTGTGGTGGTACATGCCTGTATTCTCAGCTACTTGGGAGGCTGAGGCAGGAGGATCACTTGAGCCCAGGATTTGAGGTTACAGTGAGCTTTGATCATACCACTGCCCTCATGCCCGGGCAATAAAGTTAGATCCTGTCTCCAAAAAACAAACAAAAGTCTTCAATGGTTAACATTTCCTTCCTCCCATCCCCTTCCTTTAAAAAGTCATTTTATCTCAAATACATGTACCCATAAACTTGGGGTTGGTTCTTGCTGGAGCACAGCCTTGGCTATCCAAGGGCTGATTTTGCACTACAGTGGCAGAGTTAAGGAGCTGTGGTTGTAACAGAGACTATGTGGCAGTTAAGTCTAAAATATTTACTATCTGGCCTTTAAGACAAAGTGTGCCAATGCTCGCCATAAACACTATGGTTTAGTGTTGTCTGGTTGTACAGTTTGTATAAACTGAGTCATACTGCATGCATTCTTGTGTCCTGCTTCTCTCCTTCAATATTGTGGACTCATCTTGGTTCTTACATGTAACTGAAGTTAATTTTCATTGTAAAATACCCATAATCTATCCATTTTACTCTTGGTGGACAGTTCAGGCTATTAAGAACAACAGTGCTGTGAATATTTTGTACAGGTAAGTTAATGTACCTTAGCATGCTTTTCTCTATGATACGCACTTAGGAATTCAAATTGCTAGGTCAATGAATATGTATATCTTCAACTTTATCAGAAAATGCCAAGCTCTTCCAAAGTGATTGTACTAAATTTACACTGCTATTAATACTAGCAGTGTATGAGAGCTGTGTTGCTCCACCTCCTCATCAACACTTGGTATTGTTGGATTTTAACAATGGTATAGTTGGACTACCAATCTGGTGGGTGTAGCAATATTTCATTGTGGTTTGTGTTTCATTTCCCCAACGAGGTGATTAGTGAGTATCATTTCATGTATTTACTGAACCTTGCCTTCTGTGAAATGCCTATTCAAATATCATTATTGTGTTGTCTGCCTACTAATTGTAAGATTCTTTTCAGAGGTGGGCGTGGTGGCATGCACCTGTTGTCCCAGCTACTTGGGAGGCTGAGGACAGAGGATGGCCTGAGCCCACAAGTTGGAGGCTGCAGTGATCTACGATCGTGCCACTGCACTCCAGCCTGGGGAACAGAGGAAAACTTTTTTTTTTTTTTTTAATTCTTTTCATATTTCTAATACAAGCCCTTTTTGTTCAGTGATAGACATTACAAATACATTCCCCCTTCCATGGCCTGTGTTTATACTGTTTTTATAATTTCTTTTGATGACTTAAAGTTTTAAATTTTAATTTAATTTATTAACCTTTTTCTCCATTGCTATGCTTTTTGGTCTTACTTTTAAAAATATTTTCCTCCAGTTATCTTAT